GACTCAGCTGGTACCACCATTGCAGGGGCGGGGTCCCTTCTGCAGAGGAAGCTGGGTACTTGGGGATGGGATGAGGAAGTGTGGGTGCTCTGTGGCTCCGGGGGGGGTGGGAGGGCCTGGGCCCCGCTTATCTGGGAGACTGTTGGTCCCAACCCAGCCGCAGCCTGCTAACGGTCCCCGCTCTGCAGAGGCCTCTCGGCATCTCCAGGACCTTGTTAGGGACATTACTCTGCTCTGCCTCCTTCCGAAACTTGACCCCAGTGGTCTCCCACTGGGGACAGCTTTGCCCCCCAGGGGACATTTAGCAATGTCGAGACATTTTCTATTGAGCTGGCAGGGTGCTCCTGGCATCTAGCGGGTAGAGGCTGGAGATGAAAGAATGCACAGGACAGCCCCCACGACAGAATGATCCAGGCAAACATGTCAGTAGTGTCAAGGCTGAGAAACCCCACTTTACACCGATATCCCCCAAAGCGTGTTTCATGGAAGACCCGTGTCACAAACAAGGAAGCTGGGGTCAAATACGTTTGGGAGATTCTGGCTGTTTTCTCCCCTTCCTCGAAGCTCCCAGTGAACATCATTAGCATATTTAAGGCTCTGAGAAGTCCTGCAGGAAAGAAACATGTTTCCCAATCTGATGACAAATGGCAGCCTAATATTAGTAACTCCCATTGCTATCCCAAACACAGCCTGGAAATTCTGCCTTAGAAGGTTCCAGCATGTGTGTGGGGGTGTGTCTCCTGGAGCTGTGGCCCTCCCAGGGGTCCCTGCAGTGTTCTGGCGCTCACTGGGGCTTTGTGAGGTGCCAGGCAGGTTTGTGTGGTGGATGAGGAAGGGGTCTTTGTCTCTGGGCAGTTTGTGGAACAGGGAGGCCTCTGGCTGGGCAGCTAACCAGAGAGGAGAGGGCCACCTGCTCAGTGAGTGTTTGCTATTTCCCAGGCCCTGTGCTGCCCGCTGCAGAGGCTAGAAACACCAGCGGGGTCCCCCTGCCCTTGGGAAGCCCACAGTTCTGACAGACACTCCACTCAAAGGATTACGCAAACTCTTGCAAAATCGTCTGTGCTTGTGCAAACGTCCTGTGGTGGGCAGAAACGCTGCTCTCTAGGAAACCAAAGGAAGTCAACAGGGACGGGGTCAAACAAGGGAACGGGAGCAAAGCGGTTTTTTGGGGGGTTTTTTGGTGATACTTTTATTGAGATGTAATCCACATGGTATGCAGTCCACCCATTGAAAGAGTAGAATTCAGCAAGTTGCGCAGCCACCCGCCGCTATCAATTTCAGAACAGTTTCGTCACCTTGAAAAGAAACCCCACACCCTTTCGCTGTCCGTCTCCTTCCTCCTCACCCGCCCCCGCCCTAAGCAACTCCTAGTCTTGGGTTTCTGTAGATTTGCCCGTTCTGGACATTTCCTTCAATGGAATCACACACTCTGTGGCCTTCTGTCTGCTTCTCTCACTGAGCACCCGGTCGGCAAGGTCTATCCACGGCGCGGCTGTGTCAGGGCCTCGCTCCCTCATGAATATTCCAGTGTGCGGATGGACCGGTTTGTGTCTCCATTCATCCGCTCACGGACAGCTGGCTTATTTCCACCTTTTGGCTCTGACGCAGGATGCCGCTGTGAACAGCCGGGGACAAATGTCGGTGTGGACGCAGCTATCTAGGAGTCCAATTGCTGGTCCTATGGCAACTCCGTTTTTAACTCTTTGAGGACCCTTTTAAATTTTTTGCCAGACTTTTCCATGGCGTCTGCACCATTTTATCTTCCCACCAGCAGTGTATGAGGATTCTGATTGCTTCACAGCCTCACACTTTTTGCTCGTAGTCAACCTAGTGGGTGTGAAGTGGTGTCTCATTGTGGTTTTGATTTGCATTTCCCTAGTGACTCATGGTTTTGAGCATCTTTTCATGTGCTTATTGGCCATTTATTTGTTGTCTTTGGAGAAGCGTTTATTCAGAGCCTTTGCCCATTTTTAAATTGGCTTGTCTTTCTATTATTGAGTTGTAAGAGGGTTTTTTTTTTTTTTTTTTGGCGAGGAAGAGTGGCCCTGAGCTAACATCTGTTGCCCATCTTCCTCTTATTTATTTATTTTTTTTGTCTCCCAAGCCCCAGTACATCGTTGTATATCCTACTTGTATGTCCTTCTAATTCTTTTATATGGGATGCCACCTCAGCATGGCTTGATGAGCGGTGTGTAGGCCTGTGCCCAGGATCTGAACCAGCGAACCCTGGGCTGCTAAAGAGGAGCCCGTGAACTTAACCACTATGCCACCCTGCCAGCTCCTATAGGAGTTCTTTATCTGTTCTGGATTCAAGACCCTTAGCAGATATCTATTTTGCAAATATTTTCTCCCAGCCCATGGCCTGCCCATTCACTGTTTTTGTTTGTTTTTTGAAGCCCAAAAGTTTTCAATTTTGATGAAGTCCAATTTATTTTTTATTTTGTTGCTTGGGCTTTTGGTGTCATAGCCAAGAATCCATTGCCAAATTCAAGGTCACGAACGTTGACCCCTACATCTTCTTCTAAGAGTTTTATAGTTTTAGTTCTTTTCTTTTTTTTTGGTGAGGAAGATCGGCCCTGAGCTAACATCTGTTACCAATCTTCCTTTTTTTTTCTTCTCCCCAAAGCCCCAGCACATAGCTGTATATCCTAGTTGTAGGTCATTCTAGTTCTTCCATGTGGGACACCACCACAGCATGGCTTGATGAGCGGTGTGTAGGTCTGTGCCCAGGATCCAAACCAGCAAACCCTGGGTCACCAAAGTGGAGTGCATGAACTTAACCACTCGGCCGTGGGGCCGGCCCCATAGTTTTAGTTTGTACATTCGTGTCTTTGATCCATTTTGATATGGTATAAGGTGAGGACCCAACGTTACTCTTTTCCATGTGGGTATCCAGTTACCCAGCAGAGGCAAAGAGGATCTAAGCTCAGCCAGGGTGCTGTATAACCAGTCCTTGCAGCCTCTTGCTGGCTGTGTTAATTCATGGGCCTTAACCTGGGCTGAGTTTGGTGATCCATTAGCAATGTCTGCCCTGAGTGCTGAATAGAAGTATAGGTACATATGCTGCTCAGCTAAGAGCTATCCAAAGCCTTCACTCCCTCCTAACTTCTTCCTCAGCCCTTCCAGTAGAGTGCCTAGATGTGAGGTGGAGGTGGGAGGGTTGCCCTTGTGTCCATCTCCTGGCTCCTACCCCTCCACAGGACGTCAGCCTGCACTTCGTGCTCTGGGGCTGCCTGCACGTCTACCAGCGCATGATCGACAAGGCTGAGGACGTGTGCCTGTTCGTGGCCCAGCCCGGGGAGCTGGTGGGGCAGCTGGCGGTGCTCACGGGCGAGCCCCTCATCTTCACGCTGCGGGCCCAGCGCGACTGCACCTTCCTTCGGATCTCCAAGTCTGATTTCTACGAGTACGGCTGGGCCCCATGTTAGAGGGGGAGTGACGCTCGCAGGGCCCTGACCAACTCCATTCTGCCTTGGGAGAGGCCGTGCCTCTGGACGCCACTGCCTTTCCAGCGCAGCTTTGAGCCCTCACTGTCGCACCTCCAGGGCGCCACCCGCCCTCTCTGCTCCCTAAGGGCTGTTGCAGGCGCCCCCGGCCCATGCACCCCCGCCCTCCCCTACAGGATCATGCGCGCACAGCCCAGCGTGGTGCTGAGCGCCGCGCACACGGTGGCCGCGAGGATGTCGCCCTTCGTGCGCCAGATGGACTTCGCCATCGACTGGACGTCGGTGGAGGCGGGACGCGCGCTCTACAGGTGCAGCCCCCGCCCCCACCTCACCGCCCCGGCTCTGCCTACGACCGCCCGGAGCCTGACCCCCCATCCACCGCAGGCAGGGCGACCGCTCCGACTGCACCTACATCGTGCTCAACGGGCGGCTGCGCAGCGTCATCCAGCGCGGCAGCGGCAAGAAGGAGCTGGTGGGCGAGTACGGCCGCGGGGACCTCATCGGCGTGGTGAGCGCGGCCCCACCCACCGACCTCTGACCTCTCCCAGGCCAGACTCCCTCTCCTCCCAGCACGCAAGTCATCTCGGGGAACCTGCTGGGGCGGTGAACGAGACCCGCGACCTCTGACCTCACCCAGTCCCTTTTTCCCGCTCCTCTCCGTGGGGTGAATCTGATCTGACTCCGTCCCCAGATCTCTCTCCATCAGAAGAGGGTCCCCCGCCCGGCGCGCATGCCTGTCCTCTCCCTCTCCTGGCAGCCCCAATGGGTAGCGAGGTTTGGTGCCCTCCAGCCCCATCTCGGGGACTCTCTGGATGGGGCGGTACCGCCTCCTCTCTGCTCCCCGCGGTCGGCCTCCCCCTTACCTGTCTCAGGCCTGCCGGACCCCCGCAGCCCGGGTCATGCACACGGTCCCCCAGGTGGAGGCGCTGACACGGCAGCCGCGCGCCACGACGGTGCACGCAGTGCGCGACACGGAGCTGGCCAAACTCCCCGAGGGCACCTTGGGCCACATCAAACGTCGGTACCCGCAGGTGCGCCGACGGGACGTGGGCTGCTCTCTTGATGGGGGCGGGGTCAGGGTGGGGGTGGAGTCCCCGAGCGGGGGTGGGGCTCTCGGGGGTGGGGCTCAGGTAACTGGGACCCAGGCGCCCCGGTAGAGGAGGGAAGGGTGGGACTCGCACAGTTGCCCCTCCTGTCTCACTGGACCGCCGGCCTCCGACGCCGCAGGTGGTGACCCGCCTCATCCACCTGCTGAGCCAGAAAATTCTGGGGAATTTGCAGCAGCTGCAAGGACCCTTCCCAGGTGAGAGCCGGCCGGTCCCCGGGAATGCTGGGGGATGTAGTCCGACGCCTGGGACGTGTGGGGCGAGGGAGCCCTAACCCCAGGGCAGGCTGGGAATCGGAGTCCGGCTCTCGGCGGGGTTTGAAGCCGGAAGCTGGACCGGAGTTCCGGTGCATGCTGGGGGAGGGAGTTTGGGTTCCTGGGCATGCCGGGAAATGGAGTCCCAAGACCCAGCGTATGCTGGGTTACGGAATGGAAGGTATCAGTCGTGCTGAGGGGCGGAGGCCTTATCGGCGAGCTTGGTTCTGGGGGTCAGGGCCTGCTGACGGATGGAGTCCATATCTTGAACATACGGAGAAACGGAGTCCTAGACCAGAGTATGCTGGGAAATTGAGTCCATACAGTGGTGTTTGGGGCCCATGGCATGTTGGGAAGCGGCTTCTGAAGTTACCGATGTGCTGGGAGGTGTGGTTCCCTTGCCCATGGCATGCTGGGAGGTGTAGTTCTTGACCCGGCACATGCTGGTCTCCCTGGCGAATGGAGTCAGATTCGAGGTTTGCCAAAAAATGGGTTTGAGGGTCTACATTATGGCGACCCGACCCTGGCCCAGCCGGGCAATTTCTTTGCCCCTTCCTCCCCAGGGGCTTCTGCCCCGTCAGCCCTGATGTCAGCATCCCCTGGGGCAGGGCGGGGGTGAACTGTGGCCAAGAACCGCACCCCCCCGCCCGCCCCCGCCATGCCCAGGGTCTTCCCGGACGGATTTCTTCCCCAGTCCCGCACTGTGTACACAGATGCCCATTCTCTCCCATCCGGCTGCCCCGGCCACCCTTGACGATCCTGGGGCAGCCGTGGGGGCAGAAACATTGAGATGTTGGACCTCCCAGAGCCCCTCTGTTGATGTTCTGCAGGAAAGGAAGTTTCAGAGCCCGTAGTAAGTGCTAGGAGGCACCGTGCTAGGCACGGGGTGGGAGAGTACACAGGACAGACGGGGTCCTGAGAGGGGTGTACAGCTTGGCCGGCAAGACGTAATTCTAAAATTACAAAGGAAGAGTGCAATGTCAGATGTGTACTGTCCAGAGCACAAAAGAGGGTCTTGATGGAGAAGAGAAAGCTTTTCTGAGGACAGTGAGTTGACACTTGATGAATGAGATGGGGCCGGACATTGAAGAGAACTACAGAGGCTCTGCACACAGGCCTTGGTAGTTTTGAAACACTTCAAGGAAGAAGTGTGGGGGTGGGGGGTAGTAACGGGGGCAGGGGGCAGGTCAGGCTGGGAGCTGGGCAAAGACATTTGAGCTTGTTCAGACTTACAGGCAGCCTCCAGAGGGGAGGAGGCAGCGAGAGGTCCAGGCAAGATATGGGGATTGGTGGCTTGGTCTAAGGTGTTAGTGCAGAAGCTGGGAAGCAATAGATGGGTCAAAAACATACTTATTCCTGCCTAGTTTTGTGTTCAAGACCCTTCAGTGGACAGAGGCACCAAGTCCAGACTGGGGTGGGGGTGCGATTAGGTCCACGCGGGAAGAGTGGAGAATCAGAATGGTTGTGTTGTTGTGTAATGGGTCCCCTTGAGGAGATTAGGGCCCCAGCTGAAGGTCAGGTGGCTAGGTCTTATCAAGACGGTGGACAGTGGGTGAGGCTGTGGGTCCCGGACTGAGGCTGTGACCTTGGCTGTGGCTTTGTTGAGCCCCAGCTGGGGGATGGGGGGCAGGGATTTCTGAGAACGAGGAGGCAGACACAGGACTGCCCAGCCAATCTCATCCCTTGGGGTCTCGGCAGGCTCGGGGCTAGGCGTCCCCGCCCACTCGGAGCTCACCAACCCAGCCAGTAACCTGGCAACAGTGGCAGTCCTGCCCGTGTGTGCCGAGGTGCCCATGGTGGCCTTCATGCTGGAGCTGCAGCATGCACTGCAAGCCATCGGTCAGTCGGGGGAAGGGGTGTGGGCGAGGGCAGGCCATTGGTCACTGGGACTGGCCATTGGTCTGTGTGGGCGGGGTGTTGGCCAATGAGTGGACATGCCTGAGTGGGTCAGTGGGGAGTGGGGTGGGGTATTCTCTTCTGGGAGATGGGAGAGGCCCCCAGCTCTGTTGACCTGGGTTCCTAACTCCCCTTCCTCATCCATCCCCAGGCCCCACACTCCTCCTCAACAGTGACATCATCCGGGCGCGCCTGGGGGCCTCTGCATTGGATAGGTGAGTTACTAGGATCCCTTCAGATCTGGTTCGGGTTCTAGGCTGTGAAACAAGGAGCGTCTGTCCCACTCATCTGGTCCCTGGGGAGACGATGGGGTGAATCCACTCTTGAAGGGCACAGACATGCTGTGGGGGCTTGGGTGTCTAAGTCTCCTTGCCCCCAGCAATTTAGCTACATGGTCTCTGGGGAGCATGGGAAACGTGATCAGCCTGAGGATGATGCTCCCCCGCTCCACCCCCAGCATCCAAGAGTTCCGGCTGTCAGGGTGGCTGGCCCAGCAGGAGGACGCGCACCGCATCGTGCTCTACCAGACAGACACGTCGCTGACGCCTTGGACCGTGCGCTGCCTGCGGCAGGCCGACTGCATCCTCATCGTGGGCCTGGGTGACCAGGAGCCCACTCTCGGCCAGGTCCGGAGACCATGCACAGTGACCCCACTCCCGGGACCCCATCCCCTGCCCTCCTGTGCCTGCGCTGGGCCACGTGCACCGTCACGGTGAGGCTAGGCGACCAGGGACCCCAGCTCAGCCAGGTGCGGGGGGGCGGGGAGGGAATGATCGGTGATTGGTGACTTCCGCCCTCCGCTCCCCCGCAGCTGGAGCAGATGCTGGAGAACACGGCGGTACGCGCCCTCAAGCAGCTGGTCCTGCTGCACCGTGAGGAGAGCCCGGGCCCCGCGCGCACCGTGGAGTGGCTCAACATGCGCAGCTGGTGCTCGGGGCACCTGCACCTGCGCTGTCCACGCCGCCTCTTCTCGCGCCGCAGCCCTGCCAAGCTGGTGAGGGCAGGGGGCTTGGAGAGGGACCCTCCCTATTTTCAGGGGCGTGGCCACTGGGGGCGTGGCTTAGAGGCCCACGGGGCTGGGGCGGCTCAGTGGAGGTCCAGATGCCGCCTCCTGCACCCACGTCCTCATAGGTCACGTCTCCCTCCCCTCACCCCCCGCAGCACGAGCTCTATGAGAAGGTTTTCTCGAGGCGCGCGGACCGGCACAGCGACTTCTCCCGCCTGGCGCGGGTGCTCACAGGCAACACCATCGCGCTGGTGCTGGGCGGGGGCGGGGCCAGGTGAGGGTGGGGCCGGCACTGGGGGCGGGGCTTGCCCCTGGGCACACCCTGTGGGGTGGGGCCACAATGTCTGATGGGTGGAGCTTGCCCCCTGGAGGAGATCCCCGTTGGAGCTTGGAACGGGGCTAGCACCTCGTTCCTTGCCAGTGGGGGAAATAGGAGAAGGGGAGCCCCTGGGCCAGGGCCTAGGGCATCCCCCGAGGGTCACTGGGTCTCTCGCCCTTGCAGAGGCTGTTCACACATCGGAGTGCTGAAGGCGTTAGAGGAGGCCGGGGTCCCCGTGGACCTGGTGGGCGGCACGTCCATCGGCTCCTTCATCGGAGCCTTGTACGCCGAGGAGAGAAGTGCCAGCCGCACTAAGCAGCGGGCCCGGGAGTGGGCCAAGGTGTGTGTTGGGGGGTGCACCCCACCGCAGGAGCACCCTGAAACCTGATCCCGGAGGGGCTTCTGGGCTTCCCCTGGCCCTTGCTGACTTAATCTGTGAACCCACCCCCCCGGACCCTTATAGAGACACCTCCTGGACCTTGGGTGGTCCCTTGTGGCCTCGTGGCTACTGACCCTAGTCCTCAACTCAGCTTGAGAGTCAAGAGCCTCAGTGACCACGTCGTTAGCAGCCCTGGGTTACTCCTGTTTGACCCTCGGTGACCACGTCGTCGTCCCTGAGTGCTCTCTGCTCACTCCCAGTTGGTGACCCCAAGTGACTCCTGTTTGACCCCAGCCGGTCCCCCTGCCCCTAGAGCATGACGTCGGTGCTGGAGCCCGTGCTGGACCTCACCTACCCCGTCACCTCCATGTTCACGGGGTCCGCCTTCAACCGCAGCATCCACCGAGTCTTCCAGGACAAGCAGATTGAGGTGCACCCTCCCCCCACGGCCGCCCTGCCCCCACCCCTCCCCACAGGGGTCCCCCCTCCTCCCCTACCTTGGTCCCTGTCCCCATAGGACCTGTGGCTGCCATACTTTAACGTGACCACGGACATCACCGCCTCGGCCATGCGTGTCCACAAAGATGGTGGGTGCCCCCGGCTGGCCCCACCACAGGCACCGTGGCCGCGTGGGGAGGGGGTACAGGGAGGGCAGCTGAGCGTCTGGGACACTGTTAACACGAGTGACCATCCACCCTGGCCTAATTGCGACCACTAACTGCCACCCACTAATGCCCTGGAGGCCCCAGGTATGTCTGTCCCTAAGGGTGGGGGGCCGTGAAGCTAGCTGGGCGCCTCACGCCCTCACGCCATCCCCGCAGGCTGCGTGTGGCGCTACGTCCGGGCCAGTGCCTCCTACTGCCCCTACCTGCCCCCGCTCTGTGACCCCAAGGACGGGCACCTACTGGTGGACGGGTGCTACGTCAACAACGTGCCAGGTCAGCAAGCCCACCAGGCTGGCCGGGCCTGCGAGAGTGTCTGAGCGTGTCTGTGCGTGTCTGTGTCTGTGTCTGTGTGTCCCGCCGGGCAGGCTCCCTGTGGCGATACGTGCGCGCCAGCATGACGCTTTCGGGCTACCTGCCGCCGCTGTGCGACCCGAAGGATGGGCACCTCCTCATGGACGGCGGTTACATCAACAACCTGCCAGGCAAGTGGCTGCCCGCTGACGCTTGCCCACGCGCACACATGCACAGGCGCACACACGGGCAGGAGGGCCACGGGCAGGCACACGGGCAGACAGGCACACAGGAGGACACACGCACAAGCAGATTGCGCAGGGCTCCGGACGCACACACATGCACACTCAGGTGTGCAGGCAGATGTGTGAGTGTGCCCAAGGACAGGAAGGCATGCAGTTGAAAAGTGTACCCGCGTGCTATGTTAGAACACAAAAAGACACACACAGACGTGTGTACATGCGTGGCAGGAAAGATGAGGATAAAATGGGTCATCTTTCTGCGTGCACACCAGCTACATGTCTGCTCACACGCACACATTCTTGCAGATGCTCACGTGGCAGGTAGGGTCCTCACTCACTTGTGTGCACATGGTCAGACACACGTGCACAAGTCAATATGTTCGTTGGCGAAATAGGGCACGTCTTCCCACAGCTGTCTATCCACACTCACTCCGCCAGCTCCCTCAGGTGTGCCTGAGTGTACACACGCAGACAGGTGAGGCACCGACGTGACCAAGTTATGGTTTCTTTCACACCCACTGACTTGACACGTGCAGGTGAGAGGCGGGTGGCTCTGCAGCTTGGAATGTCACGCGCCCAGAAGCACATGCCCACAAATAGACACCTGCCCTAGCTGCCTGTGCACTCGAGGTCCCATAGGCCAGGGCTCGCAAACTCCGCCCTGCAGGCCAAATCTGGCCCCCTGCTTGATTTTGTAAATAAAGTTCTATTGGCACACAGCCATGCCCAGTCGTCTACACGTTTCCTGCGGCTGCTTTTGCACAGCAGAGTGGAGTAGTTGCGACAGAGACCATGTGGCCTGCAAAGCCAAAGTTACCCTCTCTCAGGCTCTTTACAGAAAGAGCTTGCTGACTCCTGCCGTAGGTGCTCATACAGACACACGCACTAAAACCAGCACACACGAGTGAGCAGGTGTGTACGACCCACAGGTGGACAGTCACACTTGGACGCACAAGGAAATGTATACACACGCCAATCTAGGCACATGTGGACTGCAATGAATACAGACAGGTGTGGGTGGGTGTACAGAGAGGTAGGCACACCCAGAGGTGTGTATTAACACACGGAGAGGAGACACACACAGACAATGGGGATGTGTGCAGACACACACAGATGCACAAACAAGCTCGTGAGGGCCCCAGGCACAGTCAGGTGTCTTTGGGGGCTGAGCCTGGCTATAGGACGCTGTCCCCTTCCCCCGGGCTCCCCCATACCCACTCAGGGACCCTCAGTGGGGCACATGGATGTGCAGACACACCACCCACCTCACTGGGCCATCACCCCATCCATCACCCGCTCTGTCCTGCTCCCCGAACCTCCTCGTCCCTCCTCATTGCTCTCTGTCCCTGTCTCAGCCCCGAGGTCCCTCTTTCCACCTGGACGCCCTGCCTCCTGCTGTCTTTACCCCTGGATCTCTCTCTCTGGGTCAGTGTTCCCGCCCTCTGTCTCCCTGCCTCTCTCTGTCTCCTGGTGTCCTTACAACTCTGTCTCTCTGCGTCGCTCTCCTTCCACTTCTCTGTCCCACCTCCATGTCTGACCTCCCAGCGACTTTGTCCCTCTGCCTCCATCTCCTCCATCCTTCTGGCCCTGGTTCCCCAGACCTAAAGCCCCAACCCCTTGGCCCATCTCCTCAACGTCACTGGCATCGATTTGCATCCCCTTTGTGGGCCTGCACGGTGTTTGCATGGTTTTCCTCTTGCGTGCCCATTTGCACGATGGTGTTGGTGGAGCTGGTTGAACACCCCCACCCCGGGCCCAGTGGGGAGCCACCCACTGACCCCCCTGCCCCACAGCGGACATCGCCCGCAGCATGGGTGCCAAGACGGTCATCGCCATCGACGTTGGGAGCCAGGACGAGACGGACCTCAGCACCTACGGGGACAGTCTGTCGGGCTGGTGGCTGCTGTGGAAGCGGCTGAACCCCTGGGCAGACAAGATCAAGGTTCCAGACATGGCCGAGATCCAGTCCCGCCTGGCCTATGTGTCGTGCGTGCGGCAGCTGGAGGTCGTCAAGTCCAGCTCCTACTGCGAGTACCTGCGCCCGCCCATCGACTGCTTCAAGACCATGGACTTCGGGAAGTTCGACCAGATCTATGTGAGCGGCTTGGAGCTACACGGTGCCAGTATGGTGGGCTGGCAGAGCTTTACTACTGAGAGCCCGGAGGAACACGATGGGAAGGATTCTGAGGCTCCATTCCCAAAGGGGATCCGTGGGGAGTAGATCAGTGATCGATTAGTGATGTCTGCAGTGAGTGTGGTTAGGGGATGTGGCTGGGCATGTGCTATATAAGAACTAAGTTTTTTATGGTGTGCCAGCCGCACTGCCTCAAGCACTGGGTAGAGGTTTCTAGTGCTGTTTCTGCATTGGTGGGATAGGAACAGTGGTCGGTTAGTAATGTCTGCCACAAGTCTCAGAGAGCAATGTAGCAGTATGTGCCATGTGCTACTGGCCCTGAAAAATGTGTCATAGCTCACGTCAACAGAAATTGATCAGCAGCTGCTGCCTGGAGCTCTGAGTAAGAATGTCTGAGCCCTTTCTGGGTTCACTGGGAAATCATGCTGTGATGGATTAGTGATGTCTGTTACAGGCGTGGGAGGTGGTGATATCCATGCATGTACCCCATATTTGCAGACGTTGCAGTAAGCTTGCACACCACCATCCTGTGCCATTTGGTACTTGGCACACTGCATGGGGCTAAGTGGGAAAGAATGTGGGAAGATGGATTGCTTGTGTCTGGCAGTGGCACAGGAAGGGGGACATGGGACGAACGTGCTACTTAGGGCTGACTCGGAAGTAGGTTTAGTCTCAAATGCCAGCTCCCCCAGAGCGTCAGACTTCTGAAGGGCCAGGGAAAGGGCATACAGAGAGGGGCTAAGCAGAGAGGATGAGGCAGAGAAGACCATCTGGGGGGCTGCAGGCGTGGCCACAGCCTCCTCGTTTCCTGCAGGATGTGGGCTACCAGTACGGGAAGGCCGTGTTTGGGGTCTGGAGCCGGAGCGACATCATTGAAAAGATGCTCACTGACCGGCGGTCTGCTGACCTCAATGAGAGCCGCCGTGCGGACGTAAGCCCGTGACCTCCCTGACGGGGTCACTCTGACAACAGATTCCCCCCAACCCCCCTGGGTCTCCCCCAAATCCCAGGTGACCCCAGACTTCCCTGGGTTTCACTGAGCTCTTCAGACCAGAGAGCTCCCCCCAGGGGAGCTCTGAGCCCCCGAGACACCCCAGGACCCCCTGGACCCCCCAAGAACCTCACCCCCATCACCCACAGGTGCTGGCCTTCCCCAGCTCTGGCTTCACCGACTTGGCCGAGATCGTGTCCCGGATCGAGCCCCCCACGAGCTACGTTTCCGATGGCTGTGCTGATGGTGGGGGCTGAGGGCACCCCCGGAGGGTGGGCTGGGCCGGGGGCAATGGGAGATGGCGGGAGATGGCAGCCCGGGCTCACCTCCACCTGCTCCCCGCTTCCAGGGGAGGAGTCCGATTGCCTGACCGAGTACGAGGAGGAGGCGGGCCCCGAATGCTCGCGGGACGAAGGCGGCTCTCCCGAGGGCGCGAGCCCCAGCACCGCCTCCGAGCGGGTGAGGCCGGCGGCCGGGGGCTCCCATGGGCGCGGGCGGTGACACGGCTGACGCGTGCTGAGGGACGTGGCCCGTGCACTGTGACACACGCGTGCGTGGCACACCTGTCCCCGCAGGAGGAGGAGAAGTCCATTCTCCGGCACCGGCACTGTCCACCCCAGGACTCTCCGAGCTCTGCAGTGGACTCCTGAGGGCCTCAGAGCGTCCCCCCTGGGGCTGGGCTGGGGCGGGCCCTGTTGGGGTGGCTCACTCCCCCTCTGCCTGCTGCTATGCCTGCCACCCTTCTGGGTCCCCCTTAACCCCCAGCCGCCAGGGCCCACACACTGGACTGCCCATCCCCCGAGGGGAGGGGCAGTGATGCACTGATGACCCTTGATCGTCACTCCAATAAACCTTCCCCTCTTGGAAGTGGCCTCATGGTGTCTTTGGGTTCAGGGGGCACCTTGCCCCACCTGCCATGCCCAGGATGGCTGGGGCGGGGGCCTGAAGCAGCGTTGAGCTTGTCCAATGACCTGTGTGCCCAGCCTCAGGCCACACTTCCCCCTCTGTGAGTGCCACCCCGGAATCCATTTGTAGTCCCACTGAGCGCTGGTTCCAACCACAGGGCATTTGCATGCCGTGTACACCCCTTGGGGATCACAGATGCCCCCAGGTGCATCCTGGCACCCCTCATTTTCCCTCCCAGGTTCCCACAGCCTCTGCCCCTCGGCTGGTCCTACTGTGTGCAGGTGCTCTGTTTCCTCTTTGCCCCTACTGGGTGCACTACCGAGCCCAGTTCCCGAAGGACACCCCATCTACACACGCACACGTACACGCATGCACAGGGCCAAGAATGTTACTCTCAGAGGCTCCCACACATTGCCCCTACTGTGTGCTCAGCTGAGGTTACACAGCAGGAGCCCGTCCCTACTGTCCCCTCACTCTCACTGTCCTGTCGTGTCAGTTAGGAGCTTAGACTGTGACAGCAGACGGCCTGGTGTGAAACCCCAGTCTGGCCTCTTGCTGGCGGCCTCAGGCTCGTGCCTGAACCTCTCTGAGCCTCAGTTGCTTCGTCTGTGAAGTGGGGCTGCTGACAGTTCGTGCCTCATCAGGTGTTGCTATTGCTGGGTTCTGGCTGGACCCGCGCCCCTGGAGGCCCCCAGCTGGAGCCCCTACTGTGGGTGCAGGCCTGGTGGGGCTCCAGGTCACTGCCCCCGCCACATGCTGGACCCGGAATGGGGACCAAAGGGTGAACTCATGCACAAGACTATCCTGAGAGCAATGGGAAGCCCTGAAGGTTCTTTTTTAGTGTTATTGTAAAATATACACGACAGAAAATTGACCATTTTAACCGTTTTTAAGTGTCCAGTTCAGTGGCGCTAAATACATGCTTGTTGTTACGCAACCACCCCCACCCTCCGTCTCCAGAACTTTCTCATCTTCCCAAACTGAAACTTTGTCCCCATTAAATGCTACCTCCCCATCCCTGTCCCCAGCCCCTGGCCGCACCATCTTAACTTTCTGTCTCTGTGAGTTTGATGACTAGGGACTTCCTGGAAGTGGAATCATTTAGGATTTGTCCTTTTGTGATTATTCACTGAGCATCGTGTCCTCAGGGTTCACCCATGTTGGTGCAGGTGTCAGAGTTCCTTCCTCTTTAAGGCTGATTAATATTCCTTTGTGTGGATGGACCACATTTGCTCATCCATTCATCCATCAGTGGACGCTTGGGTTGCTTCCACCTTTAGGCTGTTGTGAATGATGCTGCTGTGAACCTGCCATACATGTACTTGTTTGACTCCCTGCTCTCAATTCCTTTGGGTCTGTACCCAGAAATGGGATTACTGAGTCATGTGGTAATTCTAGGTTTAACTTTTTTGAGGAGCCGCCATACTGTTTGCCACAGCGGCCGCACCGCCTTACATTCCCACCAGCAGTGCACGCGGGCAGCCTGGGAAAAGCTTTGAGCAGAGGAGAGAATGGATCTGTGTTCCTGGAAGGGGGTGGGTGGCAGTGGGCAAAGCTCGAGACCAGAGACCAGCGAGGGCTGAGGGGGCCTGAATCAGGGCGGCAGACACAGATGGTGAGGACGGGACAGTGCCCAAGGAACCTTAACAGGAAAATTTGGCAGAACGTGGAGATGGACGCACAGTCGGGGACACGGGAGGGGACGCCAAGGAGAACAAGGGACCTTAGCATAGGGAGGGACGTCTTTACTGAGTTGGGATGAGGAGAAAGGAGCAGGCGCAGGGAAGATGCTGGGCTCCATTTTGGACTCATTGAGTTTGAGGAGCCAGAGGGACCAGCTGGGGGCAGATGGCGGGGACTCTGGACATTTGAGATGGGAACCTGAGAGAGACATTTGTGCCGGGAACAAGTCTGGACGTGTCAGGCCAGGGGCGGAGGTTGATGCGATGGGGATGGATGAAGTTATCCAGAGAGGATGTAATGGGTAAGAACAGCCCGGGGGCCGGGTAGGTCCTGTCTCTACACTCTCTTCTGAGCCTCCCCTCCTCGCCTTGGAATAGCCCCACACCTTGAGCCAGCTGGTGATGGGTTGAGGACCCTAATTCTGGTGACTCTGAATTTGGGAGCTCCACTCTGCAAAGGGGGCTCAGGTGGGGCTGGAACTTCCCAGAGTCCCCCGGTACAGCGGTTTTCTGGGGCAGCTGTGACAGAGTACCACGGGCTGGGCGGCTTAAACTACATTTATTGCAGTTCTGGAGGCTTGGAAGTCAGAGTTCAAGGTGTCGGTAGGGTTGGTTCCTTCTGAGCCCTCCCTCCTTGGCTTGTAGACAGCTGTCTTCTCCCTGTGTCCTCACATGGCCTCCCTCTGTGTGCCTGTGTCCTAGTCTCTTCTTCTTCTTCTTCTTCTTCTTTTTTTTTTTTTTGAGGCAGATAAGCCCTGAGCTAACTACTGCCAATCCTCCTCTTTCTGCTGAGGAAGACTGGCCCTGAGCTAACATCCATGCCCATCTTCCTCTACTTTATATGTGGGACGCCTGCCACAGCATGGCTTTTGCCAAGCGGTGCCATGTCTGCACCCAGGATCCGAACCGGCAAACCCTGGGCTGCTGAGAAGTAGAATGTGCAAACTTAACCGCTGCGCCTCTGGGCCAGCCCCAATCTCTTCTTGTAAGGACACCAGTCCTATTGGATTAGGACCTACCCGGATGACCTCATTTTAACTTAGTTACCTCTTTAAAACCCATCTCCAAAGACAGTCACATTCTGCCTTACTGGGATGTCTTAGTCCATTCGAGCTACTATAACAAGGTACTAAAGAATGGTGGGTGGGCTGGCCCAGTGGCGCAGCGGTTAAATTCACACATTCTGCTTTGGCGGCTGGGGGTTCTCTGGTTCAGATTCCTGGCACAGACCTATGCACCACTCAGCAAGCCATGCTGTGGCAGGCATCCTACATATAAAATAGAGGAGGATGGGCACGGATGTTAGGTAAGGGCCAGTCTTCCTCAGCAAAAAGAGGAGGATTGGTGGCAGAGGTTAGCTCAGGGCTAATCTTCCTCAAAAAAAAAAAAAAAAAAAAGGAAAGAAAGAATGGTGGCTTATAAACAACAGAAATTTATTTTTCACACTTCTGCAGGCCAGGAGTCTGAGATCAGGGTCCTAGTGTAGCCAGGTTCTGGAGAAGGCCATTTTCAGGATTACAGACTGCTACTTCTGCTTGTACCCTCACTTGGCAGAAAGAGGGCAAGAGAGCTCTCTGGGCTCTCTCTTATAAAGGCACTAATCCCATTCATGAGGGCTCCACTCTCATGCCCTGAATACCTCCCACCCCGCTGATGCCATCAAATTGGGGGTTAGGATTTCAACGTATGAATTTTTGCAGGGAACACAAACCTTGTGTCCATTGCGTGGGGATTGGAACTTCAACATATGAACTCGGGAGGGGGGACACAGTTCATCCCATAACACCAGGGAAGACATTTCCAGTACGATGAGGCAGTGAAGAGCACAGGCCAACAGTCAGACCACTTGATTTGAATTCTAATTTCTTCCACTTCCTGAATTTTGTGGGCAAAAGACCGGGTACTTCTGAGCTTTGGCTCCTGTGTGAGTTTCCTGTGGCTTCTGTAACTAATTGCCACAAACTTGGTGGCTTAAAACAATACCCATCGGGGGCTGGCCCCGTGGCCGAGTGGTTAAGTTCGCGCACTCCGCTGCAGGCGGCCCAGTGTTTCGTTGGTTCGAATCCTGGGCGCGGACATGGCACTGCTCATCAAGCCACGCTGAGGCAGCGTGCCACATCCTACAACTAGAAGGACCCACAACGAAGAATATACAACTATGTATTGGGGGGCTTTGGGGAGAAAAAGGAAAAAATAAAATCTTAAAAAAAAAAAAAAACAATACTCATCGATTGTCTTACAAGTCTGAGGTTCAGAAGTCCGAACTGGGTCCCCCTGGGCTGAAGCTTCCTCACACTGCATCTCTCCGACCTCTGCTTTCATCGTCCATCTCCTTCTCTGACTCTGACTCCGACCCTTCTGCCTCCCTCTTATGAGGATCTTTGTGATGACATTGGACCCACCTGGATGATCCGGGGTCATCGCCCATCTCAAGATCCTCAGTGTAATCACATCTGCAAAATCCCTTTTGTCGTGTAAACTGACACGTTCACAGGTCCCGGGAATTCGGACATGGGCGTATTTGGAGGGGGGGTGCACATAATTTTGCCTGTCACAACTCCCTCCCAGGTACATGGACTGAGCCAATAGGAGACCCTGAAAAAATTACGTTTGTTACTAGGACGATTAATTAGTCTGACTGACGTTCTGACTATTCGTGCCTGGAAGGTCAGTGCCTCAAGGGTGGGGAACTTGATCTCCTGTGTCCCCATGGTCGAATCAACCTTTCTGTTCTGAGGAACCCGGTCTCAGGATGTCAGCACCACGGACAGCGAAGGGTGCTGTCCGAGGTGCTGCTGAGGCCCCCTCACCGCCTTCCCCTTCGAACCCCCACACCCCTGCCCCTCCAGATCTCTAGGTTTTCAGG